AACACTGGTGACTTTGGGGTGCCTTCGTTGGAAACTCGGCAGTCCTACTTCTCCAACACCATGCCTAAAAGGCCCGAGGTGCCTGCAGCCCCGAACCGGATCCTGCACAACCACCACAAAGTTCGTATCGAGAAGATGATGAAGGACCTGCTACCCTGGCTTTACAGCATTTTGCTCCCGTAGCCGGGGGCGAAGCGAGTTTCGATGCATAAGTGCTTGCCGGAGCTGAGTCGTCACGACACCATGTTGCTTTCAGTCGGCCATAGCTGATTAGGTAATCCTCAGCCATCTATGTAACCTTCCTGAGTCTGTGTATAAACAAGGAATAATTAAACAGATAGCGTATCATATCAAACAACAATATGACAGATATAGGTTTATAGGAGAGAACATACTAGACACCAGCACATCGGGCATACATCCACATGTATGTATGTATGTATGTAGGCAGGTAGGTAGGTGGGTGGGTGGGTGGGTAGGTAGGTAGGTAGGTAGGCAGGCAGGCAGGAGTAGGTATGTAATGTATGTATGAATTATGTCTGTAAGTAATGTAAGTGATGTACACAGTGCATGTAATTAATGTATGAATTGTACGCACGTACGTCCGTACGTCCTATGTAATGTATGTATGCATGCATGTTTGCATGTTTGCATGCATGTGTGTGTACCTATGTATGTCTGAATGCATGCATGTATGTACTTAAAAATTTGTGTATGCGTGCACGCATGTATGTCTGTTTGTCTGTTTGTCTGTCTATCTGTCCGTTTGTCTGTTTGTCTGTTTGTCGGTTTGTCTGTTTGTCTGTTTGTCTGTCTGTATGTACGTACGTACGTACGTACGTATATGTGTGTGTGTGTATGTATATGTACATGCATATATGTATATGTAAATGCAGACACAACGCTTACGTGCACGTGTATTACAACCATATTTAATTGCAGACTTAACCTTTCTTATGTGAGTCATGGAACTCATCAAGCTCCGGAACCCACGAAACCCTGAACCCTAAACCCTAAACCCTGCAATGCGGGCTCGTCCTTGCTATGTAGGAGGCAAAAAAAAACCCTAAACCCTATTAAACCCTATCGCAGGAGCTCGCCACCCTGTCAGGTAGGCGAAGGCTCGAGGAGGAGGTCGCTTCCCGCAGGCGGGATTCGGCTTTTTCGGGTATGTGGTTTGCCGGTTTTGGGCTTCGGATCAAGAGGTTTTGGGGGTTGAGGGCTTAGGGTTTGGGGTCTAGGGGTCAGGACCCTAAGCCCCAAACCCTGAACCCTCAGGGTTTCTGGAGTTTAGGGTTGACCGGAGGCAGCCCGATCTGTATGAAGACGCGAAGAAGCCAGCATCGCCCAAGCCACGCAAATGGTTGCTGGGGCGCACTTGGGAACCATGTTAAGTAAATGAGCCGGGTGTAGGGTTTTACCTCGTGCTTTGAGCTAAACTTAGCTGAGACATTAGCCATTTTCGAGCAAGTTGTCTAACCAAAAATCAGCATTGTGCATCTTCACAGTCGACCTTGTGAGTTCTGCGGCACCCTTGTGTGAGAAAGTTTTGTTGGTGACCTACCCAGGAACTTCCCGCGGCCGTGGTTCAGTCGAGCAACATCCTAGGACCACGAAGCCATGTGGAAGTCTGCTGATTCGTTTTAACCTAAGAGCCACCTTCAAGATCGGCCCGTCGAATCAGCTCTCCTTTGTTTAGTTTATTTTTTCTCCCAACCGTGCGGACGTGCGGCAGAAATTTAAGCGTGCCGCACGGCCACCACCGGGTTGGGCACTTTGACCTTTACTTTTCTCACGCTGAAGCGAGACTTGTTCGGAGGCTGAACCAAGCACACATTAGTGCTGGCTCACCTGGCTCACCACTCACTGAGTAGCTGAGTATAGGTACCCTTTAGTCTTTTGGGGTTTATTTCATCCTACCATAGTCCATAAGGTCAAGCTTTTTTGGGCTAGGGTACTCAGCCCCCTAAGTTAAGCAAGTCTCACAATCCCAGCTGAGAAGCCCCAAACCTGGACCGGTCCAGTGCGGTTCCATTGCGCTGCGCCTCCTCAAGTGTTTAAGGCTGCACGCACGCCGCACGCACTGCCGGTCACATGGGTACGAGGCATTCCTCAGTAGGGATCAACCCGAGTTTTCTTGGCCAGGCAATTTGATGCAATGCCTCATCAGCTGAGAGTTGCTTCTGAGCCTGTTCACACACTCTAAACCCGAAAAACCCTTTCTGTGTGCATGGCCAGGGCACTAGTCACAGAGGCCCATGCGGGCTTTCTTCCTGTCTGCCCAACGCAGGAGACAGCAAACAGGCAGCCACCACTGATGGGAGGAGCAAAGATCCCCCGAACCGACCCAGATCCCTCTCAGCATCGTCCGGCCTCGGAACTGACCTGAACTGATTCGGCAAGAAGCCTTGATTTGGGTACTGGGTTCAGCGCTCAAAACGGTAAAGGGCTTTCGGGCTGATGGGCTTTAGGGGTTCGGCAACTGCTTTCGGATTGCGGGCGTAGGGTTCCGTCGTGAGGCGCGTTGTTCTAGGCCAGTTTGGTGAAACTTGAAGAGCAGACTCAAAAAATCCCAAGGCCTTGATTTGCTTTGCTTAACTCCTGAACCCTCCCTAAACCCTAAACCCTAAACCCGGATCCATTGTTGTCAGGGTCCAGCGTCTCGAGGGGAGGCTGCTCGTCCCAGATCACTGGAGTGCCTGCACCCAACCTGCGTTGAATGCTGTCCCAGATTCCGTTTGGGGGTATGGGACACTTGAGAAGAACTGCAGATATAAAATTCAAGTAGTCTGAATACCCTTGGCAAGACGTTGCTCGAGTCTCCTTGCAGAAAAGAGTGCGGGGAGTCTCGGCACTTCGGCATCACTTGTGGTGTAGAGTCCTATGTAGTATTAGGGAGACGCCTCAAAGGGGACCCTTCTGAACCTTACTTCTGGCTCTCTTAAAGGGACCTTATTGAGAGGGTCTATATCCTCAAGGGTCCCCCCAGTCCGAACTCCCATAGAGCTCTGTGCGACATACCGTGGCGCAATCCCTCCTGCCCCCCCTGCTCGGGGAGCTGAAGGCTGAACCGCAAAGCCTGAATCCTAAGCCCAACCCAAGATAATCTACTGGCCCAAGTACTGATTCATATTTTTTTGGGGGCTGCTGAATATAGTTATAGAAGTTAGAATAATATACCCCAAAACCCTATTCTAATTATTACGGCCCCCACATCAGCAAAGAAGCCACATCCGAAATCCTTCAACCCGTGTCCCAGGCGATACTCGGACCAGCTGTCAGGTGCTTTGACTGCATCCATACCTGCACTGTCCTATGCAGGTGTTGTTGTTGGTTATCCCATTTCTTGGTTACTGCTTCCTAACCGTAAAATAAAACCTACGAGCAGGAGCTACATTGGAGTAAACCCTAAACCCTAAACCCTAAACCCTAAACACCCGCACTGCAGTCCGGACTGCTCGAATGCTAGATTGCCGAAATCCTGAAACCAGCAGCCACCACACAAGAATGCGTGGTGCTGGTCACGGCTACTATTGGCACTCTCTATCTCTATCTCTTTCTCTGTATCTATATATAATATCTCTATCTATTTCTAAATATACACGTATTTATATACCTTATTCATCTATACCCTAGCATTCTCACCCTCGGATCTTGAACTCTTGGCCCTAAGCCGGCTATTCAGTTGCAGTCTGATTTGCTTGAACCCTATTGCACACAGGCTTCCGAATCTCAAGCCATGCGCCATCTTAGGGGTCTGTAGAAGATGGAATAATCCGCAGCACGATTCCTAGCTTTCTTCTAACATACAAGTCAAAAATACCCCCCAAACCCTATTCTAATTGCTCCGGCCCTTTTTTTGGCTCTCTTGATCAAACCACTAACCCTCAGTTGTGAGTTGTGAGTGCTGAGACCCTCGAAACCTTATGAGGCGGGTGGCATATTCTTTTGGCGAATGAAAGATGGGACTTTGGATTTAAGGAAGCCCCTTTTATTCCAAAACCACCGAAGCCAAGGATGCTAAGTTTCAATGTTTGAGGCTTGCATGTGTTCGGTCTTCCTGGGTTTGGGAATTTCCGGTGTTTAAGGGTTTAGGGTTTAGGGTAACGTTTGACCGGAAGCTGGAAGCGCTGTCACGAGTACAGTGTTAGTCGGCGGACGAGTGGCTAACTACCAGGCGCTCTTGCTTGCAAGCCTGCAGCAAAAGGGTAACGTTTGACCTTAAGATCGAAGCTGTCGATGGCCGTCGAGTTACACAACGTTTCATGCGCAGTCTCAACCCCGCGAGGGGTTTATGAACTTACTTGTTACTGGCCCTACCTACACCATGAATCCCATCCTTGAGGGCCGTCTAAAGGGGATGATCTCAAAAGTCTCTCCTGAAACGAATTGATTAACCAGGGGCCTCCCACATTACACCCAACTCTTCTAGCCTATGTTACATAGCAGAAATACAGTGAGCCAAAAGCCTTGAATCCGTTGAACCCTGGACCCCGATCCTGCAACCTTTGGAACCCCCTAACTGCAGGATCAGGAACTTAGTAGGGTTTAGGGTTTAGGGTTTAGGGTTTAGGGTTTAGGGTTTATAGGGTTAAGGTTTGAGGTGAGTAAGTGCTTGAAGGAACTGAAGCTTCAACTGATTGTGAGTATTCGGCAGTCCGACACCCTTCAACCGTAAACCCTACCCAGGCTTGTCCTTGGAAAAAACCCTAAGTTGAGCCGAGCTCAAGCCCTGAACCCGAAACCCTCATACAGGGCCTTCATAGTTAGAAAAGGGTTTCGGGTACCCTTATAGGCTATTTAAACTAAGGAAACCTAACGAGTAGCATTAGTCCCGTAGAGACCCTAAACCCGAAACCCAAAGGCCCTAAGCGAGGACCAAAGAAGTCCTCGGCTGAAATCAAGAAGATGGTGAAAGAGTTCGTGAGGGAGATGGTCAAGGCTGTACTTCAATGTAGGAGTTTAGGGTTTAGGGTTTAAAGGAGCCTGCCCAAGACATCTTTACTAGGGCTCTTTATACAGAGCCTAGTGTTTTCAGCAATCTTTTGGGTTATAGGCTATAGGATCAGTGTCTTGCCATCAGAGCCCTAAACCCTAAAACCTAAACCCTAAACCCTAAGGGGAAAAACTCCCCATTAGGGCTTATCAAGGCTATTCGGGTTAACGACCGTAACGAGGGGTTTAGGAGCTTTCAGGGGCTTACGGGTTTAGGGTTTAGGATTCAGAATTAGTTCAGGGTTTAGGAGTCAGAGTTCGTTCAGGGTTTTTAGGATTCAGAGTTAGTTTAGGGTTTAGGATTCAGAGTTAGTGTAGGGCTTTTCGTTTTTCGGTTTTAGGGGCTGTCATTCCGCATGTTGCTTGCAAGGTTCAGGCTTCGGGGTCAAGGCTAGTCTAGTAGCAGTAGTAGCCGTAGTAGTTCGAGGGCACTGACCTGAGGGGTTTGTTTAAACCTTCAGTGCTGGTGGGTTTTCGGCCTTCTTGGGTTTGTTGAGACATCGGTTTCAGAGGGAGTTGATCGTAGGCTGCCGCGAACGCCAAACACCCGTAAACCATGTGAAACAGGCCACGCTTTCTTTATGAGGTCAACTTCCTTATCCCAAAATGGCTCCTACCTTAGCCCCAAATTCAATTGGCCCACCTTTCGAAGGGTTTATACAAGTAAATCATGAAATGGAGCCCCCAAAACGCAGATTCTACAGGGTTTAGGTAAGGCCTAAGCCCTGACATCCAGGAGTGGTGGGCTCCATGATCCATCGCGCGTCACAGCCGTAAGTGCTTAGTGTTTCGGAAGTAACATTGCAGTTTCAGTTAAGATTATACTCGCATATGCACCCCCGAACCCTCTTCGAATTGCTAAGGCCATCGTAGTGTGGCTAGGGGCCCATTGCGAATTTGTCCTCTCAACCCCAGACCCTAATATTTGGGCCCTCGGCCATCGTCACGGTGCCCATCCTCTATGTAGTGTCTTTTTTGTGTAGGGTTTAGGGTTTAGTCTTGAAGGGATCTTGCTGGGTCTGTTGGGGAGCGTACCAGTGTTACTATACCTGGAAGTGAGGCCACGGGCTGGAAAAGTTGACTCGCCTTGCTTGTAATGTACTATCTACATACTTGCCCGCGGAAGCTAAATATGCCTGAGGTCGAACCCCCCAACCTTTCAGGGCAACCCCGCCCCAGCCAGAACCCTGAGCCCAAGCAGGCCCTCACCCTGAGCCAAAAATGCAGGGAAAAGAGATGAACGTATTGCGCGTGGATGGCAGTCTCATGGAGGTGAAGTGCGGGCTCACAAGGCTGGACGAGGGTTCCTGGCGTCAGGGGTTTGGGGTTTAGGAGCATGGTTTTGGGGATTGGAGTTTCGATGGTTTTGGCCAGTCGTTAACAAAATCAAAGGCGGATGAAGGGCTCCTGACCAGGTGCACAGATTACCGGGCTGGAGGTTCGGGCCGGCTTTGGGAATTCAGATTTTGGAGCATTCCAGGTGAATGGCGACGAGGGTGGCGGAGAGGAAGCCGTTCCGAGATGAAGTTGCTGACTGAGGATGGTAGTGATGGGGAATGATGACGAGAAGGATGAACATCCGATCGACAGCGGTGCTGATGCCGGCGCTGGTCAAGATGCTTTCATTGTCGGTGATGCACATGTCGTGTTGCCCAACACGAAGGAGAGGATGCTTAGGTGATGGCGATGTTGTTGGTGATGCTGCCGACGCTGACGGTGACAGCGACGTTCATGGTGGAAATCATGTTGATGGTGATGATGGTCCCGATCAAGTTGACAGCTAAACAGCAAGCAAAGGATAGTTGTGTCACAGGGCCCGCAAGGTTCACAGGCTCCTTCAAATATGCTGAGCTTTACAAAGGCACCAACCCAGTGCCGTGGAAGCCAAAGCTTCTTGGGCAACGATCGAAAGCCAAACCTGCGAGCCAACTTCCTTAAGCTGCCTCACCCTTCCGGCCCTTGATCGCTAAAAGTGGTCACTGCACCCGATGGAACTCCACCTAGGCTGGAGATGCAACTCCCCGATCCGCAAGCCCTGATTCAGCACCCTAAAACCCTGCACCTAGAAAAACCTAACCCGCTGTCTGGATTGCAAGCCTCCTGAGCCCGGTAGGACCCTGGATGCCCTCAAGATCAAGTCGGGCGGGGAAACGCGGAATCTTCGCCTCGGCGACGTGGAGAAGGAGGGATGTTAATTAGGATGTAGGGTTCAGGAGGTGTCGCGGCAATGTGTTCGGGGTGCATTTATCGGGGCAGTGCGCTTAGTAGGTTGTGGTGTTAAGGTTACGTACGCTTTATAAGCTTGTTGGTAGGGGCCCTAAGATTGTTAGCAGGTTCTCTTCCGCCAGGATGTCAGCATGCACCTTTGTCCGAGAGATGGAGTTTTGGGCTAGGAAAGCTAGGTTCAAGGTGTGGAGTTCAGGGCACAAAACTCAGAGTTTCGCTGGCTTCTATCACGGGCAAGGCGTTCGTAGCAGTTATGCTTGCCGTCTATATGACTGTCGCTATCCAGCTACCCAGCCGGAAATCCTGAGGCCTGCAAGCCTTCGGTATTATATATGAATATATAATGAATGTAGATATACAGATTTATCTCGCGTCAAAGAATTTTTCATATATATATATATATACATTATATATATATACATATTATATATACATATTATATACATGCATACATATATATATATATATATATAGATAGATAGAACGCTATGTTGTATCTTTGCATGCATGTTTGTGTGTTGCATATATATATATATATATATACTTTACGTGTAGAACAAAGCCATATGTTCGTATAAATGTAAAGCACGTTATGCTTTCTATAAGATACATTCTGTATTATCAGATCGTGCGGAGCAGGTGGCAACACAGGTCGACAGTGTACATGACACTCATATATATATATATATATGTAGCATATGGCATGCGGTGTGTATATGTGGCATATTATGAAAAGCTTGTTAAGTGATGTATATCTATGTAAGCTTATGTATATGTATTGTTTGCTTTATTTATTTATGTATACACCTAACCTGGTGTATGTAACATGGTTTATGTTGTGTAGTATGCACTGAATATGCAACATACTTTCTGGGGATTTAGAGTGTACGTGTATATGAATATATAGGGGCGTCGGGGTTTCGCGGGGTTTGCTATACTCTATACTTGTAACCTAAGACCTTACTCTCACGCTTGGGGAAGGCCGAGACTTGAGGCCCTAGAAGCCTCAAGCCCTGAACCCTAAACCCTAAACCCTAAACCCTGAGAGTGTAAACCCCAGAATTCAGGCCATCCTCTGCTTGCAACTGTGCCTGAGCAACAATAATGTGGTTCCTGGTGACACGGTTCAGCTCGGCATCATGCGAAAGATGAAGGGCTTAGAGTTTAAGCATGTGTTTAGGCTTGGGGCTGAAGAGGGTTCAGGGCTCGGGGCTTTACAGGGTTCTAGATTTAGTAGGATTTGTGTTTACGATGTCAGCGGTCCCCGGCTATTAAATTTGAAGGGGCGCTTAAGTTTCGAACATAGTTCCACTAACTTCAACAGCTCCGTCTCCAAGCTAAGCTCCAGCAGAAGCCTACAGCAAGCCAGCCCCAGCGATGCCCGAAACCCTGAACCCTTAAACAGCTTAGCCCTTCAAAATGAAGCCCTCTTACCGCTGGAGTAAACCCTTACCCCTTTAAAGGAAGCCTTCTTACCACTGGAGTAAGCCCCTTAGGGAAGCCCTCTTGCCCCATGGAGTAAGCCCCTTACCCCTTTAAAGGAAGCCTTCTTACCACTGGAGTAAGCCCCTTAGGGAAGCCCTCTTGCCCATGGAGTAAGCCCCTTACCCCTTTAAAGGAAGCCCTCGTGCCCATGGAGTAAGCCTTGATTGGATTCAGGAGTATCGGTGAAAGAGACACACCAGGGTTTTAAAGAATTACGAAAAAGTTTGATGGTCGAACTTCTCCAACAATATGAAAATCATGAAGTTTTTATTTTCCCCCAAATATGAAAAATCTAAAGAAATTGAACAAGAACAAATTAAATATTTCAAGGAATATTTTAAATATTCTTAGTTATTTAGAATTATGTCTTGAAAAATGAATATGAATTGAGGACTACCATTCATGATTGTGAGTTTTTTATTTGCTGGGGCTGAAAGGGGGGTGCAGGACGAACAATAAAACCAGGTGCTTGCAATCTCAAGTGCAGTTGTGACCATTGAGTCCTTGGGTGCTTGAGCATCGCATGATGGCGTGGCAGCTGTGGCAGCGGCATGGACTCGTTGCAGCAGGCACTTAACATCTTGGCGGATGCGGCTCCAACAGAAGGTGCCAGGGCTAGGCGCCGCTCCGGCCAAGGTCGCAGACCGGGTAGAGGAGGCGGAAGGGGTCGAAAACGTCGGTTGATCCAAGAAGGTGCAGAAGCTGCAGAAGCAAGGCCATGTTTGGAAGAAGGTCGCCGACCGGGAGTGCGAGATGGGATCAAGAAGAAAAGATCGCTTCCAAAGAAGAAGGGGCAGCGGAAGCGTGTTGACCGACGTTTCCGGCTGCATTCTTCCTTTCTCAACAGCAATGGAAGAGCTCGCACAGCAGACCACCTGATAACAGCTCCCGGAGAAAAGCCTGCACGTGTATTTGGCCGAGGCAGATGGAAAGTATGGACGAATTCTGCCATCATGAGAGCAGGTTTCGGGGCAGAGGCTTCAGCGCATCGCGACATTGCCCATCAATTCGATGGAGCTGGTCATTTGAATTCCTCGTGGTCAAGATACGTGGTTTCATCATGCGTCGTGGGTCGGCTGCGTGCTTGCTTGGAAGAGCTGAAATCTTTGGGTGCCCGACGACCGCTGCAATTCTACATTCGAAATATCATGTGGGACGAGACCACATTTGATTTGAGATGGGAGAAGGGTGGGCCTGCCTTGACGCACAGCATTCTTTGCTCTCATGTTCAGGTTGCATACCGGGTGGGCTACGAGCACGGGCAACTTCCCCCTATTCATGGGCCTGGCGTTCGTGACCAGCATGTAATACGCCCGCCACAAGTGTTTCCCCGCTACAATGCGGAGACAATATGGCAGGCGTTATGCAGACTGAGCGGTGGGCTTCAAGAAGAAGAAAAGGTGCCTTCCAAATTCTCAGCGACGTTGACTTCATGTGATGCTCATCGCGCGAACTTGAAATGCCTTCGAAAGCTTCACTGTCATCTTCCTGCGGATCATTTGCTTTTGATCAGCATTTGCACGCAGCATCGAGCTGCAAATTGCATTGAGGCTTTGACCAAAGCAGTTGGAAACTTGACTGGAGTGTTTTGCTTGAGCAAAGTGTTCAATTATCGCAATGTCTTGGTTCGTTTGTGCAAACATGTCAGGAAACGACTGGAGCAGGTCGCAGACCGGGTGGGCGAGAGGCCGGCAGCCAACTTGCGTGAGTGGCGTGAGGCTGCGGCAAGCGCCAAGGAGTTGGTGCGGTTGTGCAAGGCGTGTCTGGAGAGAAAACCGAGAAGAAGGCACACCCCCTCGACCAGCTGCTCGACTTCTTCCAGGGCCCGTGGACAGGACAGACGAGGGGG